ATATTGCAAATATATATATATATATATATATATTCTCTTACATTAAAGGTTTAAGATGAAATAAAAATATTTATCTAAAGTTGTTTGGGATAATGATTTATTCTTTAGAGTTGTTACCACATTTTTTAACTTGCAGGTACATTACTAACTGGCATTGACATTTTTTTGTTGAAGCCAAAATATTTCTAGCTTCTCAAGCATGTTTAGAGCTTCTTGGCATGAAACTTTTTATATTTTCATACTATCAACCTCATTATTATTTCTTTTCTCTTCTTGTCTAATTGTAGTAATGATTTATTCTTCAGTTAAAGCATACATGACTTGTTGCTTATATGGATGATTGAGGAAGATATTAATATCCATTCGATTAGTATAGTGAAGTTGCCGAATCTGATCACTCAATTTTACATTGACTCTCTGATTCTCCTCATCCACTTCATTTGTAATTTGCAATTTATCAACATCGGGGGTCCTAATTTTACAATGCTTAAAACAATTGACAATTGTCCATGACTTCACATTAACTGCATTTACAATTCCATCAAGGACACTTATCTTTGTTGGTTCCAAGACCCGATCTTCTATTCGCTTCAAAAGTAGGCAATTAAATGGCTGAATTGAAACCCTAATACTATTAAAACATAAATTGAAATCCTAATATTGTATTATTAAAACATGAATTATAAAATAAGAAATTTTTGTAACTACACCTCTGTTAAGTTATAGCCTCCTTATAGTAATAAAATTAGTTAGTCCCACCATTATGATTATAGAGAAGTTTTACTGTATTTAGAACCTTAAGGCTTAGCGGGAACCAACCGAATAATGACTTTTGGCGCCTTGGAAATTGGAGTTGAAATCTATCTGTCATTTTTATTATGTGTTCAGATTTTCGTTTGGTTCTGTGTTGGAGCCATTTGGGTGAGTCAATTTTTTGGTATTTAGATATGGGTTATTGAATGGGAACAAACGCCCAAAAGAGAGCACGCATGCTCTAAACAAAGAAGAGAGATGGGCACATGCACCCTAACGGAGCTCACAGGTCAACAATCTTACCCTCTCACACAAATTATGCAATTCAGTTGAATGTGTTCTTTTATTGCCCGAATCATTTTGTTTTCTCCTCATCGATTCTTCAAGGAACTCCATCTCTTGTTTTATGCCTACAAAAATGGCTAACCTATGTTAATGTCAACGAGCACCAATTAGAATTCAGGAAGGTCTCTCACCATCTAGAATCTATCACGTCTCCAAAGACACAAATAATATAGTTGTCAACAACCTAGCCGACTCAAGTTTTGCCTATGGATGAATTTGGTTTGCACACCTGTCCTAGCTCCATTTAATTTAAGGATATTCTTTGAGTTCTCAACCAATAGGAAGACAGGAAAGATTTGCATGACACCAATCCACTTGCAAAATTGTAATCATTACCTTGAGCACAACGGGTATAAATAGGTAGCTCCCCCTCACAAAATCGAGATAGACACTTTTGAATTCAACAAAGAAAATATTAGCAAAGACACTACGAGAAAAACTAGCTTGAAATTCTCTAAAAATACTTAGAACACCAAGCACTTGTAACACCAGATCGCAGTTCGTGACCTATTGTAATCTTGGCTAATGTCCAAGAACATAAATAAATAAAAAATACAATAGAAATAAGATTCGCTTTAAATATCTGAACCACTATAAAACCCTACTGTCTCCTTTATTGTTTTACATCCTTGCATGCTACTGTAAAAACAGTATCTTAATCAACTCTCATAATCATCTCAGGTGTGATCTCTTAGCATTTCATCACGTGCGAATTCATTGGTATCAAAATCATGCATCAACATCCTACAACCAAATTCGTGGAAATGTAAAACAAATTAAATTGCATCAATAAGCATGCCAAATTATATGAAACTCATATCGCTAATTTGAGACTTTAGAGGAACCATTTGATCAGGTTTCTCTGTGTCCCACTACTTGATTGTCCCTTATTGGCCTTTAGTGATGGTTTTTGAGAAAGCTGATAGACTTCCATTAAGTCCCCAAAAGGATCTTCAAAAACTTGATCAACCGGCTGCGGTGAACTAATTATATCGAGAGGAGGAGAAATTCCCAGCGAAGGATTTGCCTCAGTGACATTGATGTCAGGAAATTGAAAGCCATCCATGATATTCCTAGAGGGCTGCCCCATTTGATCATTATGATCATCACAATCATCACAATTGGCGCAAAAATTCTAAGGCACTTGGTGATTCATGTTACAAGGATGAGGATTTGTAATGCTGAGTATACATATATATAAAAGTTTTGGCTAGTTCTGCATGTTGAGGCCATTGGCATTTGGATATGGGATGGTGCATGAGTTCAACTAGATAGATTTTTTCTTTTTTATTTTTCTTCAGATTTTGTATTAATTCCAGGAGAGAATTAATCCCTTTGTCCCGTACTCATTTGCTTGGGGCAATACGTGGACATCGACGGACAAGTGTCAGCTTCCGATAATTTGTGTTCTTGACTTGCACTACGGGTTTGAGTTTGAAGAAATGGCCAAATCTTTTAAAGGGACAACTTCAGATCTTCACAAGTGGAAAGCATCAATATTCCATTTTGAAAACATCAATTTTAACACTCATTTTTGTGTCCCGTTCACTTATCTTTACAGGAATAGGAAACAGTTGACTTTATAACCATGTTGGTGTCCGTTGCGTTCATTAAAATCCCTAAAACTCACTTTGCAGACTGGTAATTTTGTGAACCTGTGTTCAAAGCTGATGCACAGAGGTGCTTATGAGGAGATCCGAACTTAAATCTCTGTGAAAACAAACCACAAATCTGACCATATAAACCAACACAGTGAGAAGCACTAAAAATAAACCAGGAGCATTTTATCTTTGGGAAAGGAAGAAAAAGCTACAACTAGCTTAAGTTATTTTTCTTTTTAAGAGAATATTTATATATTATCACCATCACCACCAACCCATTCATTACGTTTATTGGATAAACGATGACTGTTGAAAACCTTAAAGTAATATTATCTAAATAATTATTGATGAATTATGAACTCAAAAAGCCTCTATGAAGTCAACTACGAGCTGCTTGAGTTATTATATTCATTATATATATTTAATAAGTGAAGGTACTCAACCTAGCTCCATTCTCCAATTTCCACTTATAAATAAGCTGACGTTTCATGCAGAATTGGCATATTACATATATAATATTCATAAAAGCCTAGTTGGTGAAATACAGACACATATATAAATACATGAAAAATATAGCAACTAAATTAAACCCCATGTGAACAGTAAGACTCATTTCATTCGTCTCCTGATTGATTAATTTAATTCCCTTGACTAGTTGCAAAAAGCCAAAAACTACGGAATCATTGACATTGAAGATTAAATTATTTACTCGATTTATAATGTTATCCTATATTGGATTAAATACGATAATCAAATTATTGGGCACTCTTGCATAGTTCAAACGATAGGACGGCTGCTAGGACGTGTGGTTGAAGCACATAGTTTGAATCCCTAACTCTTAAGACTTAAACAATTGATCATAACAATGAGATGTTGTGCTAATGTAGGTGTAAGCTAGTTTAAAAGGGTTTAGATTTATTGAAATTCAATAAACTTGAGAGGGAAGTTGACTTCAACAAAACCCTTCTTTATTTGTCAACAAAATTGGCTCTGGATAGGATAAGATTTGGACTAGGTCGTTACATGGAAATTTCCATGGTAGCCAGTTATATATATGTACATATAAAGAATACAACAAATATAATATATTGTCCATTGTATTTGTGATTCCACCAAAAACCAAAAGCACTTTCCTGAAGTGACTCGTCATGTTTCTGAAGCGTTATCTGAAAATTGCCCTAAAAAATATCAACTGTCCAAAGTTTGTCTTATAATATCGAGAGTTGGTAGATGTTTGTTACCCCCACAAGACAAGTATACACTCTCCCTTCTGTATATTTTATACAGAGAAAGAGAGGTCAGAGGTTGAAGATAATGAGGCAATTGAAAGAGATGATGATGATGATAAAAGAGGAAGGAGATGGAGATGGAAGCAGTGTAGCGTTTCTCTTGTGGGCGTTTCTGGTAACTCTTTCTATAATTTCAGCTGTTGTTTTCTCCTGCGCTGGAGGTGCTTCCAAGGACAAAGATTCTGCTACAAATGCTGATGCAGCTTATGGCTCCAATTGTGCTGCGGGCTGCGGCGCCGGCTGCGGTGGATGAAACTCATCTTCAGCTCTCCGAGATGAAAAATAATTTAGTCATCTAGTCAGGGTTGACTCGTCAAAAAAAGTTGATAGGAAAGCTTTGGTTGCAGAGATCAGGTAGTTGATGTAACAGCTTTAGTTACAGTTACAGTAAGGTTACGACGATTATAATATTATTTGTGTCAGAATATGGCGGCTTCCTGTCAAATATCAAAATGTATTTCGTGTAGTGAAAATCAAAAGGGAATAGATCAGAGCCAAAGGATTTTTTAATCTTTTCAAATTATTATGGTTTGTGTTAAAGTAATTTGGTCAAATACACTAAAGTTTACCTATAAAAGCAGCCACTTCTTCACCAGTGAAACTATCTATAGAAACTCAACTTTAAAACCCAAAAGGAAAATGGCAAGAGAGATTAATCTTTTAGAAGTAGAATTGATAAAGATTTAGGATTGAGTTTTTATCCAGAAAAAGGTATCGGAAGAAGATTTACGATAACGAAAACAATAAGTGAAATTTCGAAATTAACAGGAGATAATTTCGACAAAGAGCTTATTAGAAAAACCCAAACGAAATTCCGAAACTGTCAATCGCAGATATGGTTACAGGAAGAAATAATTCTGTGGCTGCATTCTTTGTATTTGCACTGAGGTTTCAATCTATATACAGCAATGGACTCTTCTTCTCTAGCAACAGTTTAAGGTTCCACATGGATATATCCTCTAATGAAATAAGGAAAAACTGCAGAAAAACAACGCCTGTTTGAATGACGGTTGTTACAGAAGAAATTACGTTTGGTTTTTCCTTATTTCAGTGGAGGAAATATCCATGCGGAATTTTTCTGCTGGTATTGGGACAAACATATCTTGTAATGTCTCTGGTATGTCAAAATCTTCAAGAACCTGCAGAAGAAAGGTCATATGTTGGCATTTAAAAAATTTATGTAATGAACTATGAAACATTAAAAATGCACGGGTGAATTTGCGAGTTTTCCAATGTGTAAACGAACCTTGAAAACACCATCCACAATACGGCCACCAACAAGGAAGGTGCATCCTGTTCTCTTGCATCCAATCAGTATCTCCAGCATCTTCCCGTAGTCTCCATCGTAATATTTAGGCTGAAACAGCAATTAAAAACAAACAATGAAGATCAGCTAATATATTTAGCAATACTTCCACTCAAACAGAATTTAATACAAATATATAAATTTTTGCGATCTAATTCTAAGCCACCTCCATGGTAAGGTTTCAGCATTCAATTATTATTTGCTTTTTCCCATATTACCATGCTCTCCTTCCCTATCCCAACCTCCCAAAAATAAATAAGAAAAAAGTTCCAGAGTGGTTGTAGTATTAGCAGCCCCTCAAACCAAGCTGCTTGTAGTAACAATTACCTACAAACTTCTAGCATTGAATTACATTTTTGTTGCACCACTTATCTGGGGCAATTTATGAAGTGTCTCAAGAGCCACATAATAGCCTAACTTCTGAGTTTCAATATCTTTTAATTCTTAAATCTGTAAAGTCTTCAACCCTAACAAATAAATACAGTGCAAATGGTAACAAAATGAATTAAAATTGATTTTAAGTTCCATACATTAATAAGTCTCGCTACTGTATCTGCACCGATTACGAAAGCACTGCCTGGAAAAAGTTCAGCTTTCTTATAAAAAAAAGGCTGATTTGAAACAATTACAGTCTTTCCTGCCATTCAAACCAAAATTATTAATATGCCAGGATACATAATCAAATAAGTTCAGCTAATACTTCTACGCAAGGTTTACTATTAAAGAAATTCAATACTTAAAGTAATTTTCAATATCACAACCATAGTTAAAGGGGGACCAAAACTTTCAAACTACAGAAAATTAAAGATCATGGGGAACACTGCATACTACACACTCTTAACAAAAGAAAGAAAGAAAGAAAATGTTATAAAACACTGAATTTCCACACAGTATAAATAAAGTATGCAAGCTGTAAAAACATCATTGGTCATAGAGGCCTTTGACTAACAGAATCATTTTCATTCACAATGTCCAAACTGCCAGATTAGCAAGGCCTGGTTATTGATAGCCTCCAGCACAAAGAAACAATGCCTCAGGGTTCCTGTTTGGTTCTGTTGTTGCATTAATTAAACATTTAAATTAAAGTTTGTCGGCAGATGATGTTCAATTTTTCAAAACGTCAGTGATTTCACAAAAGCAACCAAAGCAGGATATGGCTATTTAGAGATTTTTATATTATCTTTGTGACTTAGATTGACACAACCACACAACCAGAAGAAATACCGTGTTGAACACATCTTAAATCCACATAAAACATATAGTTAAAAAAACAAACATACCAACATTTTCAAATTGCTTGACACGATCTTTGATTTGGGATACTGACAATGGAGGTTTGTCCGCATTGACTGCTGATATTTCAAAGCATGGATAACCATCGCCACAAATGCTACAAAAAGAATGAGTTATTGATGAAAGATATCTTCATGGCTGGCAATTTTCAGCGTGCAACAAATATAACATCAGGCACATGCAAATGTTAAATCCAAATATATAAGAGCTTTTATTAGGAAAATCATCATCCCTTCCATAACATATTTATTAACCTCTCACCATTTTTATAATTTGTAGTATATGCATTGATACTGCAGACCTTTGCTCAAGATACGTCTAGCACGTTCATATATCATTATATCATACAAAGACAATTTTAGCCCTTAAAAATACTTTAAATTGAGAATTCAAAATTAGAGAAGCTTTATAGTATCTACAGAATCATATTTTTTATGAAAATACTAGCAGAACCCAAATTCATCACTTTCTATTAATTTGGAACATGAATATCTATATATATAGCCAGTTATTGAAGTTTTTCAAGGAAAGAGTGACCCATCATGAAAGATCAATAGTTGGTGGAAACAATATGAATGTCTAAAAGACTTAAAACATGACTAACTAGAAAATAAAAGAAAAATAAGTCAACAATAACAGAAATGTGTTCATGTACCTAGTTGCAATTTCCAAAAGCTTGAGGTGACCATCATGTAATGGATTAAATGAACCAGAAAGTATTACTTTCCTCTCTTCATTAGACAAGCCACTTGAAAATGGATAAACCTTAAAGCAAATCTCCCCATTTAAGAGTTGTTCTAATTCTTGTTCTTCACTGAACTGTTGCTCAGATTCAGTAACTTTTTCAGATTCAGTCAACCCAGAAACAAATGTTGCTGGGACTTTGCATGCATTTGCAATCCCCTGAAGCAAAAGATAAAATGCCAATTAAATTATGATATGTAAGGAAATAAGGAAAGAGCCTGTGTCTTCATGAGAAAATAACATGACATTTAGCAAAGCAGTGCAGCACAAAGTCATCTTGCGTGTTCATAACCATCAAACACTGTTCTTCTCTACCTATTTTCATATATCAAAGTTCATAAAGTTATACGTATATACACATATTTTAGATATGCTTATACTTTCAATAACAGTTATATACACTAACTGAACAGTGTTAAAGGTTATAGTCATCCTCGATTTTTATCACATACCCTAAGTAAATAGTGACTTGAGACCTTATCTTCTTCCTCTCGAGTCCGCAAACCCTATTTCAATCAGTAGCACAGTAAGTTTAAATACAACACTGTGACTGAATTCAAAATCAACAGAAAATCCAATAATTACCTTTGACAGGGTAACTGTAGATACCCATAGTCGGTCAGATGTCCTAGTTGACAAGTGAAATCTATGTACATCAGAAAACAAAATTTTAAGCAAAAGCCTATAGAGTAACCATGAGAAACAACTCTCAGCAACCAAAGAAATCTATTTAGCATAATGTGAGGTAACTTCATAAGACTAGTTGGAATGCTTATGCTTATGCACTATGGTTGAGTTACTCAAGTATAACTTGTGTCATAGGTTCAATTGTATCTCATCTAATACCATCAAATGCCAAGGTGGAAAACTGAGAAACAATAAATAAATTAGCTAGTTATTTGGTTCGTAAAACCAAACAACACAAGTTGAGATTAAAAAAGCATAAAAGTAGAATATATTGTCATTACTTTTTTGTAATATTCCAACAACATAAAAAGTTGACTTGAATCAAAATCAACATTCATCTAATAAAAACCTTTTGGCTGGATCCAATTCTGTTGACGATATAAGAAAGGTTTGGAACGTCTTGATTCTTAATTCAGCCTTCCAAGTCAGATATTCTGAGGTTATTAAGTGAACTTAGAGCCATCGAGGCAAATTTCAGGTTTGCTATATATTTATACCCTTTAAACACAAAAATGATCATAAACAATGTCGTACATTAAAGAAACTAAATTTTGTTTGATTACCAAACTTTCCCAACCTTGAACACAATGAATCACATAAATAATTAGCTGTCTGCATATGCAGGGGTAAAGGGAAAGAATTCAACTCACAATACCTGTGGTCCCCAAGTTTCGGACGTGTGCTGGCCAAAGCACCGGTAAAACCAACACCAAGAACTGGGAAACCTATTTAGAAGATGAATAGAGATGATATTAAAAGAGTCAAAGCCAATTCTGAGACAAAAATATAAATAAATAAATGTATTTCTGCACAACTCAAGCCTTTCTTCTAGCCATCGTGATCTTAACCCCTCAAATTGATAGACACACAACATAAGAATCTTATACACATAACATAGACATAAATGTGGTTATAACATATAAATTCACAAAAATTCAAGCACTAACATTCTCTGACCTATCAATACTCAAAAATCAAAAAAGTTTACTGAAAAATACTTTGATTTAAATGCAGCCAAAATCTTTCAGAAAAATTCAACAAAATTCAGGATACACTTTTAAAGGAAATGATTTTGCTCAACAATGCTCGCTTCACCAGGAAGCAATTTAGAAAACATTTTGATCACCAGACACACTTCTGACAAGATCAAAAGTACTTCCAAACGAAAACGCTGGTGAATATCGATACCAAATGTCAAATTCTTAATACTTTACAAGTTTTCTACAANACACATATTTTAGATATGCTTATACTTTCAATAACAGTTATATACACTAACTGAACAGTGTTAAAGGTTATAGTCATCCTCGATTTTTATCACATACCCTAAGTAAATAGTGACTTGAGACCTTATCTTCTTCCTCTCGAGTCCGCAAACCCTATGTCAATCAGTAGCACAGTAAGTTTAAATACAACACAGTGATTGAATTCAAAATCAACAGAAAATCCAATAATTACCTTTGACAGGGTAACTGTAGATACCAATAATCGGTCAGATGTCCTAGTTGACAAGTGAAATCTATGTACATCAGAAAACAAAATTTTAAGCAAAAGCCTATAGAGTAACCATGAGAAACAACTCTCAGCAACCAAAGAAATCTATTTAGCATAATGTGAGGTAACTTCATAAGACTAGTTGGAATGCTTATGCTTATGCACTATGGTTGAGTTACTCAAGTATAACTTGTGTCATAGGTTCAATTGTATCTCATCTAATACCATCAAATGCCAAGGTGGAAAACTGAGAAACAATAAATAAATTAGCTAGTTATTTGGTTCGTAAAACCAAACAACACAAGTTGAGATTAAAAAAGCATAAAAGTAGAATATATTGTCATTACTTTTTTGTAATATTCCAACAACATAAAAAGTTGACTTGAATCAAAATCAACATTCATCTAATAAAAACCTTTTGGCTGGATCCAATTCTGTTGACGATATAAGAAAGGTTTGGAACGTCTTGATTCTTAATTCAGCCTTCCAAGTCAGATATTCTGAGGTTATTAAGTGAACTTAGAGCCATCGAGGCAAATTTCAGGTTTGCTATATATTTATACCCTTTAAACACAAAAATGATCATAAACAATGTCGTACATTAAAGAAACTAAATTTTGTTTGATTACCAAACTTTCCCAACCTTGAACACAATGAATCACATAAATAATTAGCTGTCTGCATATGCAGGGGTAAAGGGAAAGAATTCAACTCACAATACCTGTGGTCCCCAAGTTTCGGACGTGTGCTGGCCAAAGCACCGGTAAAACCAACACCAAGAACTGGGAAACCTATTTAGAAGATGAATAGAGATGATATTAAAAGAGTCAAAGCCAATTCTGAGACAAAAATATAAATAAATAAATGTATTTCTGCACAACTCAAGCCTTTCTTCTAGCCATCGTGATCTTAACCCCTCAAATTGATAGACACACAACATAAGAATCTTATACACATAACATAGACATAAATGTGGTTATAACATATAAATTCACAAAAATTCAAGCACTAACATTCTCTGACCTATCAATACTCAAAAATCAAAAAAGTTTACTGAAAAATACTTTGATTTAAATGCAGCCAAAATCTTTCAGAAAAATTCAACAAAATTCAGGATACACTTTTAAAGGAAATGATTTTGCTCAACAATGCTCGCTTCTCCAGGAAGCAATTTAGAAAACATTTTGACCATCCAGACACACTTCTGACAAGATCAAAAGTACTTCCAAACGAAAACGCTGGTGAATATCGATACCAAATGTCAAATTCTTAATACTTTACAAGTTTTCTAGAAGCACATTATAATTCTAACATTACCAAAAAAAAAAAAAAAAGGATTATAAAAGTTAAACCTGGCTTAGAGAGCTTAAGCGCACGATTATAAGCCAGCACAGCCATTCTTGCCGCCGTCTGTTCACTACAATAACTCGAAGGAATCTGAATATTCAATTAAACAACTAATTAATACAAATTCATCAAAACTCATCACCACAATCTAAGTCAAAATTACACACGCCAAAAACCTTGAACCTTGCCGAGTAACTGAATTATGGGCATTCTGGAGTACGGTACAACTGTTTCAAGCAAGGTGTTCGAAGCTCCTGGAACCGACATTAACCAGCCTAAAGACTGATCAAAATTATTAATAATTTAAGTTCATTAATAATAAAAATTGAGTGGAAGATTGAGTGAGTCTGGTTAGAGAGAGATACCTGAGAGGCGCCACCGGACAGATAGAGCACGGCTTGCGTGGGGCTCGCGTGTATAGCTTCCACAAGTGATCGGATACACGCGTCTGTCATTTTCGTATCTCTTCTCGTCGTCGTGTTCGATGATCGATGATCGCTCGACCTCAAGTTTCCCTGTTAATATAAGACGGTGTCGTTTTAACTCAGATTTCTTTTTTTGGGGGGCGGGTCGGGTATTTTCGGATACTTGGATTGTTCCGGCCTTCCTCTTAAATGGTCTATATTTAGAATGCCCTTTTTGTTTAAAAATAAATAAATTTTAATTAAACAAAATAGACAGAAGAGCTTGTAAATGCCGAAGAAAATGTTAAAAATAAATGCACCAATTTATGAATATATTAGTGGGGGCTCAAATGATTTAATAATTAATGAGGCAATAAAATGCTAACTTTAAGAATAATAAATAATGCCACACACCTTGACCAAATTAACGCACTTCTATTTAAGTTCCAACAATAATTTTGTCAATTGTACATTTAAAAGTGCTTCTTATAAAAGCACTTCTCAAACCCACCCTTCATGTTGGTATAGTTGGAATTTTGTAGTCATTATAGCAAAAACCTAAATTTTGAGTTTTTTTCATACATGAACGCGCTAAAATAAGATTTCTAATTTCATAGTTATCAACCATCACATTTTTTTACTTTTCCGGTGTCATAAGCTCGAGTTCAAAATTGAAGTCCCGACTCCTTGTTGAACCCTACAATCTTATAAAAAGATGATGCAGATACCCTTAGAGAGCTTGAATCCGAGACCTCAAACCACAGGCCTAATCTTTCAGCTAAGCCCTCTCATTATTAATAGAATGACAAAAGAAGGTATGTACATACATTGGCATATCAACAAATCAATTGATTATCAAATCACCCAACTTGTACATGCAATTACATAAACCTATTTTGTGACAAAATGAATTGATATAATACAAGAAAAAGGGGAAGCCCTGTGCCCAAAAAATAGGGCAAGGTGACTTGGCAATCCTCATAAAATCAGTCTGTTTTCCAACAAAAATAGTCTTGTACAGGTCTCTTTTTATGTTTGTTTTGTGACACTACAGATGGGTAGACAAAAAGGTTGCTTTCTGTAAAGTTTTTTGTATTATATTTAAGCTGTAAAGCTTAGTGAATTTAGATCTCCAATTCAATTATAAGAGTGGGCTCCAAGGAATGAAATTCTGGGTCTAGAAAGATAAGCAAAAATGTTTTAGATTCCAGGGACGACACTCCAGTCCAGCCAGCTCTCCATGGATGAGTGCTACACAATTCATACCCTTTTGTTTTACATGTTGTAAAGCTATAGTACTACAATATTGGAAGACTGCCTAATGTTAGGCCTCGATTTAATCTCTGTAGACAATTTTAGGTATGGCGTTACTCAAACTGATGTTCTCGCTTTTGTTTTGATTATCCTCGCTTGCATGAATGCTTTCCCCTAAGGAAGAGCACCACCTACAGATGTATATTTACATCCCACAACTTCAACAGATTAGTAAGTTTCATATTCGGCGTAAAAGTACTCGATCAACGGTGATTGTTTTAAAACAAATGTGTCCACTGTATGTATAATTAATCAACCACACAATCAAAGCATGTCACACATGTTAACATATCGTTTCATATAATCAGGATTTCATGATAAATCTTGGGACCGATTGAAATTACACATTTCTCCTAGGGGGTGGGATAATCCGTTTAACCGAACTAGATTAAGTAAACTAAAAACCGAACCGATTATTCGGTTTTGGCAAAAAGCTAAATCGAAACTAGATCGATTTACGGGATAAACCGAATTCAAACTGAATCGAATATTCAGCTCAATTATCCGGTTAACCAGATTTTTAATTCAACCCTAAATTCTACATTTTTTATATTTTAGTCACCAAATTCAAACATTTATTACATACTAGAAACAATGTTTCTCAAGATATAAAGAATGATTTTGAAGGCCAAAGTGCGATGCAATTATCAGTAAAACTCAACTTTTAAATCAACTTAGAGCAAACGCAAACCAATGAGAAGATAAATAGAAAAATGGACCAATTATAGCAATCATCACTGAACTTTACTAAAGCCAACTACATAAATGATCCCACTCTAGTTTCAATTTGAAGAAAACAAAGACAAGATGTTTAATAAGTGACTCTTATCTACATATGTGCACACGACCATAATGACTACTTGTATAAAAATGGAAAGGAAGAATTGAAGAACTAAAGCGCATTTTCAACTACAAACTCTTCGGGAGCACCAACCACCAGGACCCACATTTTTAGCTTACCTTGCTGAATCGGTAATGGATTACTGGATGTTCATGGAGGTGGAGCCGTGGTCTTGTTGTCGTGGTGGTCATTGGGTTTTGTTGCCGTTCGCCAATGAGACAGGTTCACTGATGGGTTGGGTGAATGGGTGGTGGGTGGCGCTGGCCATCGACACTCTAGATCTAGAGTTAATTTTTTTTTTTTTCTAAAACTCCTTTTCTTTATACACCTAGGGTTTTCCAACTTAAAATCGGTTTTCGGTTAACCGGTTTGGGAATATCCTTAAACCGAGCACCAAACCAGTTTTCCAATTTTCACAAACCGAATTGGTTTGCAAAAAAACCGGATTTTCGGTGCTGTTTTAGTTCGGTTTTCAAATAATTTCTCACACCCTTAATTTCTCCTTCCAAATTTGAAGAAAATAAACCACAAGCCACTAGACTCATCGCTTTGGGAGTAGACCATAAAAAATGGAGATAGTGCTTGCCTTTTGGCTAACCACTTGCTCCAAAATGATAAACAATAACCCAGATGATAGTGTACCGTTGTTCCTCCGCTTAGAGCTTGCTCATAGATTTGTTAATGTCATGGAGTCATCATGTTCACAAATGAGACTAAGATCCCAATCATATACTATTTTAATTCTTAAATTACACTATTAAATCATGGTCGTTCATTATCAAAAAGGCTATTAACGTCCATTTTATATATTTATTATCGAACTTTTATAAGATTATATCAACCCACTTATATCAATAAATAAGTAAATGGTAACCTGTTACTGTGAATTAGACACATTAATCAAATCTTAAAGAATTAATGTCATCAACTCTTTAATTTTATCAAAAATATAAGGACAATTAATTATAAGGAAAATATTAATTTAAACAAAAAAAATAGTTGTTCTTAAAAATGTGCTTAGACCTCTTCTCTTGTTGCTAGATGATAAGTTAGTATATTTGTGTAATTATTTTCATCTATTAAGCTTATAAGGTATTTTTGTAATCTTAAAGATTAGATGCTTAGTCCATTAAATTTATAGGGTATTCCGCAACTCTAAGGATTAGGAGGTAAATTTATAATACACGGATATCTCTGTAAATTAAAAAACCTCCGTTATTTAAAAAAAAAAGGTGCTTAGAAAGTTGACTGTAAACTTCGAGAACTGAGAACCAAGACAGGAGAACAGTTAAACTTGTCATTACGGAACAGAACCCGGGGCAATTAAAAATTAATTACCCTCAACTTCTTTTATTTACGTTGTTCCCCAAATTTTTCTGTTCTTTACAGAAACATCCGTCAAAAAGTGAATCCTTTTGTTTGTGTACATAAATAAAGCAAAGCGATAAAAGGCTAGGTAGGGGGGCTCACACTAAGACCCACTCTGACAAACGGCTACTTCTATCGTTCACATGTCGATTTAGCGTTAAAAATTATCGCCAAGGTCGTCTTCTTTTTTCTCATATCGCGAGAATTACAATGATCATATTGGGTGAATAAACGGGAGGTTATTCTGTGGAAGCTGTTTTATTTTTTTTTATCCACGCTTCTTACAAAAGCGCTTTTTTAAGAAGTGCTTTTTATGTGGATTAATAAGAATTAATTTACCGCAAAAGATTCTTATGCATGCGTTTGATAATCATTTTACTCTTTGATTAAATTATAAAATAACTTTTTCAATAAATATTTAAAAATAATTTTATAAAAAAACTATTAATTAGTTTCTTAAATAAAAATCTAAAAGTACATGTTAAAACAAAATTTTAATGATATATTAATAATATTTTCTGCATAAAAAAATTAACAAAAAAATATATAATAAACGAATACAATTTTAATTATAAGTGAATTAAAAACTCAAACATATCACAAAAAATTTCAAAACAAACAGTGAGTTCAGATCTCCAAAGAATATTTATGGTACAATAACACAATAAACTAAATTTCGTCATCCCATTAAACCTCTCATTCATAATCGAAAAGTGATATTGGACCCAATAATTTAATAAGATAATAACCTTTTTTTTTTTTTTTAGATATGTTACACTCACAATTTTTTCTTATAAACTTTTTTTTTAATAACCGAGATGTATGGATAAACTTATGTACACTTTAACTAATCTTTTAAGGTTTTGAAGTTAACGACCAGATAAACTCTTTAATGATCATTCATATTAACAATCGAGAAAAAATCAAACTCAAACCTTCTTAAATAATATATTTAGAGACTTTTTATCATCACACTCGACCACCTAAGGTGGTTCATATCTTGTTTTTCAATAACCTTTTTCTAAACTCGAGCTCAAAACTAAAATCTCATCGAGTTGGGTAATTTATTATGAGCTAACTAAGGAGTATTTAATTGACTTTGATTACACGTGTTGGACATTGATTAAAAAAGCGTACTAGGACCCACTACAATTAGGGAGGATTAGGACCACTAGATTATCCTGATGAAAATTGATAAAAATTTAATGGTCAAATCTGGCATGTTGGTCTGATCAACGGCAGTCAAGATTCCATCTATGGAAAGAAATTCTCTAAATTGGGTTTTTATTATAGATAATATCATGATTTGGGAAACAAAATGACCTTAATCATGACGTTGTCCCCTTAACGGTTCGGACCCAATTTGGGCTAATCATCACTGTCCATATCTTCCTCCTCTATCTATACTTCCTATCCTGGCCCTTCGATCACTGCCCACAAGTCCTCCCGAAGGCTCCTCCACTAATAATATTCTGACAGTGAAAACATTGTAGTTGCAATGAGGATGCAAACATGGGATCATCTACCCCATCAAAATATTACGAGAAATTGATTCTAAATGGAAATTGAAGAAAACTTGAGTTTCACTGTTGCTCATATATGGATTTTCTCACCAACCTTCTTCTTGAGTCTGTTTTCTCACTTTCTTAATTCAATTATCAATCTTCCCAATGCCTTTTGCTTTGTTAGCTTAACCTTTACCCCTTCTCTCTTCAAGTCTTTTCTACATCACTTCACAGGTCACACCTTTCACACTCAAAACTCCCATTTTTCCAACTCTCAGCTCAGCTCTCTCTACTCTCTTCACCGCCCATTTCTCAAAGAAAGGTGAGTTTTTTTTTTTTTTAGCTCTTTAAGCTCCTCCACATTTGCTCGTAACGGTCACTTTCTTCTTCTTCTTGTAAAGATGCTGTCTGCTTTTGTTTTCTTGGTGCTTGTTGTCTGCAACTTCAATGGTTTTGTTGAGTCTTTGAATGGTGAAGGCTATGCTCTTTTGTCTTTTAAGCAGTCCATTTATGAGGACCCAGAAGGGTCTTTGAGTAACTGGAACTCTTCTGATGAAAACCCTTGTTCATGGAATGGTGTTACATGCAAGGAGCAAAGAGTGATCTCTGTTAGCATTCCAAAGAACAAGCTTTATGGCTTTCTTTCTTCTTCTTTAGGCTCTCTCTCTGACCTTCGCCATGTTAATTTAAGGAATAATAAGTTTTTTGGAAGTTTGCCTACTGAGCTCCTTGAAGTTCAGGGGCTACAGAGTTTGGTCCTTTATGGAAATTCTTTCTCTGGGCCTTTGTCAAATGAGATTGGCAAGCTTAAGTACCTTCAAACCTTAGATTTATCACAGAACTTCTTTAATGGGTCATTGCCTGCATCCATGGTGCAATGCAAGAGACTGAAAGCCCTTGATCTTAGTCAAAATAATTTTACTGGTCCTTTGCCAGATGGGTTTGGTACTGGTTTGGTTTCACTTGAAAAACTTGATCTTTCATTCAATAGGTTCAATGGTTCAATTCCTAGTAACATGGGAAATCTGTCTAGTTTACAAGGAACTGTTGATTTGTCCCATAATTTATTCAGTGGTTCAATTCCAGCTAGTTTAGGAAATCTTCCTGAGAAAGTTTATATTGATCTAACTTATAACAATTTGAGTGGACCAATACCTCAAAGTGGTGCTCTAATGAATAGAGGACCAACTGCATTTATTGGGAATCCGGGCCTATGCGGGACACCATTGAAGAACCCGTGTTCTGATGCTTCGAGCGCAAATTCGCCATCCTCGTATCCGTTTTTCCCTAACAATTACCCGCCTGAGAATCCGGGTGATGATCGTAGAAAGATTGAGAAAGGAAGAGGGCTAAGTAAGGGTGCTATAGTTGCTATAATAGTGGGTGATGTAATTGGAATTTGCCTTGTTGGGCTGTTGTTCTCGTATTGTTATTCAAGGATTTGTGGTTGTGGCAAGGGTAAGGATGGAAACGGTTATGGTTTTGAGAAAGGAAAGAAGGGAAAGAAAAAGTGTTTTTGCTTTAGGAAAGATGAATCTGAGACTCTATCCGAGAATGTGGAGCAGTATGATCTTGTGCCACTAGATACTCAGGTGGCTTTCGACTTGGATGAGCTGCTTAAGGCCTCAGCATTTGTTCTGGGAAAGAGTGGAATTGGGATTGTCTACAAAGTTGTTCTTGAAGATGGACTAACCTTAGCTGTGAGAAGATTGGGTGAAGGTGGGTCTCAAAGGTTCAAGGAATTCCAGACAGAAGTTGAAGCAATCGGAAAGCTAAGGCATCCTAATATTGTAACCCTCAGAGCTTATTACTGGTCAGTTGATGAGAAACTCCTCATCTATGATTACATACCTAATGGAAGCCTTGGCACTGCACTTCACGGTATGTTTATTAAAACCCTCTTCTGTTTACTATTTCTGATATATAATTTTGTTTCATAGCAGTGGTTTGTGTTATTGCTATATGCTTTAGTCAATTTGATTGTATCAAATATTTCTTTATACAACAGGGAAGCCAGGAATTGTACCGTTCACTCCATTATCTTGGTCAGTTCGGTTGACAATCATAAAAGGGATTGCAAAAGGCTTGGTTTATCTTCATGAATTTAGTCCCAAAAAGTATGTCCACGGAGATCTGAAGCCAAGTAATATTCTGCTTGGACAGGACATGGAACCACACATATCCGACTTTGGACTTGGACGCCTCGCTAATATTGCTGGTGGTTCCCCAACTCTGCAATCTAATCGAATTCCTGTGGAGAAACCTCAAGAAAGACAGTCAAGGAGTGTATCTTCGGAAGTTACTGCAACTAATGGGTCAGGTAACTTGGGATCTTATTATCTGGCCCCTGAAGCACTCAAAGTGGTGAAGCCATCACAGAAATGGGATATCTACTCCTATGGGGTAATCTTACTAGAAATGATTACAGGAAGAACACCAGTTGTCCAAGTGGGATCCTCGGAAATGGATCTTGTCCACTGGATTCAGCTCTGCATTGAAGAGAAGAAGCCACTTGCAGATGTTTTAGACCCATATTTAGCACCTGACGCTGACAGGGAAGAAGAGATTATCGCGATCCTAAAGATCGCAATGGCTTGTGTTCATTGCAGCCCTGAAAGGAGACCTACAATGCGGCATATCTCTGATGCTTTGGACAGATTGGTTACTTGCAGTGACTAAGAAACCTCTTAAAGCAAAGAATCCTGAGCTCAGTGATTCTTGAAATTCTCTCAAATACACATAATCACGGCGTCGCGAGAGATGATGAATGGTTGTGCTTCAACTTAAAATGTGTAGCCTATTACAGTTGCTCTAGTGTGGAGAAATTATGCAAGTCGTTTATTAAAGAAATGTGTTCATCTTTTTATTATTTGTTGTAGTATTTTTCTCTTTATGATTGAATATGAGCTAGATGAATGTAGGTCTGCCATAAGAGCATGCTATGAGAGATTCCAACTGCTCTTGCATTTGTTTACTCTTAGTATATATATGTGTGAAGAAAATATCTTCTTCTTCTTCTTTCTCTTATTGCAGACCCTTTTGTCTTTTGTTGTTCTTGGGCAATGATCATGAATTTCCTATTTTTTTGTTTCTTTCGTTCTTTCCCCCTCAACAACCAGTCACCAAAACACTGCAACAAAATCATTTTTCTACTCACAATGTTGATGAACACATGATTTTTTTGACTTCCATCAGTTTGACCCTTCAGCCATTTCCGTGAACAGCCCTGCAGCCTTTAAGATTAATCGAACTTAAAAAGTCTTTTGCTTCGATGATAGCCTTATTACAGTTCAGAACGATAATATTATATTAAGGAAAGTGATGGCTTAGATAATGAATCTGCTGTCAATACCATGAGCTTTCCACTTACTAGAGAATTTAACCTGTAATCTCTGTCTGATATGACTTTTTCATTCTTTTACCAATCCTAACTTTGTGTTACTTTCACGCAACTTTTGTCCCATCTAACCTTTTTTTTTTTTTTTTTCCTTCTTCTTCTTCTTCTTCTTCTTCTTCATCCATGATTGGAGGCGTTCAAGCCGCGTTACCTCAATTAATCTTTTAAGTTTTAAATTTTTTTTTTTTGGGTGACCAGAGGTGTTCAGGTCAATTTATGCGTACTTCAACTAATCCCTTGGGTCCTAAAATTTTTTTTGTTTTTTTATAACCGAGGGTATCTAGGTCAATTTGTGCGTACTTTAACTAATCTCCTAGGCCTTGATGTTGACAACCGGATAAATTTCTTCAGTGATCAGTCCTATTAACAACCTAAGTAGATTAAACTTATGATCTCTTGAATAATACACCTAAGAGTTATAATTGACCACTCGGTCACTCAATGGTTGTTAATCTATCCTCTCTTTATTCTCCATGCATCTTTAACTACTTCATTATTTCTTGCAAGAAAACCATACTATAAACCTTAAGTTTAAATGAAGTAGATATCGTCTTTATTCTCCATGCATCTTTAACAACTTCATTACTTTTTATTGAGTATATTCACTCATTTTGACGACCTTTTAAGATTTTTATAAGCTTGTTTCATATCTACTTAATCAGTCAACACACGAAAGGAAAATTTTGAGAGAAGTTCTGGAAGAACTTAGAACAGATTCAATGGTAAGTGAGAAACAATTGTGGTTTGTTGTGTGAAGTGTGGAGTAAAAGGAGTGGTAGAAAATAGAAATGGTGGAATTGTGAAGCTAAAGAAACTGCGTAAATTGAGGCAGTGGAGTCCACCAATCAAAGGAAGCAATTTAGGAGAAAATTTCTTACCTGTTATTTAGGTTTAAAGTATTGATTCATTTGTCGGTTTCTTGACTTTTAATAAATTATCAAAAGAACTTCTTGGCTGAATTTATTTGGTCAAGTCAGTCCAGCTAGCATGATTTTTGGTATTTCATGTTCATATTAGTCTTAATAGTCAATAACTAAAGAGCCAAAATGCGGGAGATGTTCTAGAATTTTTAACGTGTAGACCAGAGATGAGTTTATGAAGTTAATGACGATGAAGTTATTGACTAGACACTCACCTTCGATTAGTACGTTAAAATTTTATAAAACGTCCATACGAGAGACTTAAGATTTGTCGATGAATAAGTAATTAGATTAGGTTAGATTAGATTAATTGGTTGATCTATATGCATGAAAAAGTAGTTACTCCTGTTTCTTAAGAATTGTGGGTTAAATGAGTCATGCCCAAAACATCAAAGTAGACATGTTAAATGGATCAGATTTTATGAACAGAGCAGCCCATTTTTGTGTTATATCATTTGTGGCCATATAGAAGTGGAATTCTCTCATATGGGTCTAGTTTCAGCCTGCCTAGTAAAACTGGCCTGACTTTGAAGATCCAAAAATAACTTAAAAACATTTTTGTAAACTCAAGGGGGAGAGATTTAAAGCATCCCCTTGATGACACAAAGGGCATAGAGTATTAATTAGCCACATTGTCAACCTGCACTTTTGAACAATGGAGGAGTTTGAAGAAGATGAAACAAACAAATATCAGCTATTTGGTGAATTTAAGACTCAAGTTAATCATCTAATATGGAAGTCTAATCCTTTTCATACGAGTGCTTCAATGTAGTCTGGCAATAACCTTCTCGGTTGGATAATCGATTCACTCTGATACTAATTATTGTAGATTCATGTATCCAACCTAAAAGATTAACCTATTAGATAAATTGATCATTCTCGTTATAAAACTCTAAATTCTACTCATTAATCACTACTCCCAAAACTCGAATACACATAAGAGATCAACTAAAAGTCACTTGTAAATCTACACATGATAAGTCCCATCCAAGTCAAGGTCAAGATTCAATACATTCTCTCATTATCATTTATCTAGAGAGCAGAGTTTTCCAGGGTCCTGCAACACTTAACAAGGATGTGTCCATCTCTTACAATTGCATCAGAATACAGGACCCTAGGGATAAGGTCACTCAAAATCTCTCTACAAGAGCCTGGAAAGAAAACATTGGAGCAGTGGCAATATATATTCATCTAATAAACTAACTAAATCTGTCTTGGATTTATTTTTAAGTTTGATACGAGCCTTTTTTCACTCAAAATACATCTACTTAATTGAAGGGACTGCACACTTATAAACTAATCCAGATTCTCATTCACTATATCCCTGACAAGTTTCAAGCTCGGAATTGCATGAATCTTCAATATTTTAGTAGAATTAAGAATCTCTGCCATTCACATTATAACAAGAACAGCTTATATATATGAAACTAATACCAACTTGTGACAATGTTCTCTGGCTGCCATTCTGATTCTACATGCCTTCTGGAACACAAATTTCCCAATGTAACTTCCCACTCTAAGTCAAGTCAGTCCTCAGAGATTCTTCAGAACAAACTACTAATCAGAAGCTTGATTCAGAAAAAAAGCTTCAGTTTTGGGCAATCCTGAGCCGCTTCACTGATTCTACGAACTCTCTATCATGAATCAAACCATAACTTAGCTGATAATCCTGCACAATCTATTGAAAAAGTTAAAGCATTTTATAACATTGTTAAATTTAAAGAACTTACTTCCAGGGAACATCACCAACAGGCCTCCAATTCTCCTCCCTGTCCTTGTAAAACAGTGAAAATTCTGATCCAGCCTGGAATAATCTTAGCTCAGATGCAGAATTTCTCCCTGGAATCATACCTATGTCACTCATTTCAAGCAGAATTATTAGAAAAAATCAAAATCTCAAAATCCTGAAGAGTGTTTTTTCCTACTCACCAAACATTTCTTCCAATTTATGTGCCATGCTAGAATAGCCTTCATGGTCAAGAACGCAGATTTTTCTTCCCACAATAACTCCATCCATGTTAACCTTCACATAAGCCCACCTCTCTTTGCTCTGGATTCCCTCAGCCTCGTCGTCGCCGCCGTCTTGTATCAGCCCGGGAAATCCCCTGCCTGGATTCTTCAGCTGCAAATCAGCCTGTGGCCACTCCATAAAGTCTCCATATCCCTCCATGCCTACCACTGCTACATAAAATATAATCAAACTCCAATTAAAATCACAGTCAGAACATTTATCTTTTCAGGAAAAAAAAAAAAAAAAATGCATACCATGTTGAGATGGCTGATAGGCTTCAGGCTGCAGAGTTCTGAGGCTGAGGCCGAGATCGATGAGGCCATCATCCTCCTTAGGTTGATAATAAACTGAGTGGAGGCCTGAAGGGTTGAGAAGGAAGTTGGAATCCATTGAAATATTTTTGTTGGTATAAGTGAAAAGAGAAGATATTTATATACGGAAGCTGAAGTGAAAAAGTGCTTATTTGAGAAGCTGAAAATGAGGGAATATGAAAGTGGGGGCCAAAGACAAACGGACAAGGAAGATAAGTGAGGGTTTCTCTCCCATGATCAATCATTAAATGGTGGGCTATCTTCTTGTGGGAAGGGATTGAAATTGTCAACATGGAGAAGCTGAAACTACAAACAAGAAAACCAGAAAAGAGGAGAACAAAGGATGGCCAAAGTGATTCTAAGAAAAGCTGGTTTGGATCCTGCAACCCAACATTGATACATTGCTTCTGCTTTTCAGGTAGACATCCACTGGAGATCACTCAAACGGTAGGCTACCTCTCACTTTCAAGAGCTTTGGAATTTAATTCAACTTCTGATTATACCAACAAAACAAAAAAAATTGCTTTTATTAATTGCTAACTTTGCATTGCCATTAAGGAATTATATATGGATTAAGTTAAAACTACAAGACAAAACTATGTTATCTTAGTAAATTATGTAGTGTGAGAAAACTTTGCCTGAATTTTAAGAGAATCATACCGTCCCCACTTGAAAATTTAGGTGATACTACATAATTACGAAACCATTAAACAATAGTTGCTTTAAGGTTTTAAAAATCGAACCACCCTTAAGTGATCAGGTCAGACGATAAGGACTCTTAGGTGTATTACTCAAGAAGTCTTGAACTCGATTCTCCTCGGTTGCTAATAAGGATAGGCACTAGAGAGTTTATCCAGTCGTTAACTTCAGAATCCTAGAGAATTAATCGAGGTATGTACAAATTAGCTCAAACACCTTCGATTACACAAAAAAAAAAAGGGTTTAAAAATCGACTAGATCTTGACAAAGAGAATTACTTTATCACAATAAGACATTCTAAATTATTCAATGCCTTGATGGAGTTAGCCAATAAATCGGTTGATAGTAAACACTATTGTCTAGGAGTAGTAAAGGGTGGATGACGATGGCTTAAAGTAAGTTATTGAAAGCAAAATAATAGTAACCAAAAAAAAGTGTTTGAAATGTTGAACTAGTTTTGTGTCACATCTTATAGTTGGGTGGTCTCTCTCATACAACAATGTAGTGTTTTTGTAATAGGAGACAAAATTCGGTAAACAACCCACCATCCCACTCCTCTTTGCCCATTATGTATGGTGCTTTTAACCATGGATTCAAGATCCAATAGTCTAAAATATAAAGTATTTTTCTGATCTAAAAAGTAATTTCCTTAGAAAACATGTATGAAGTGTTTCTTCAAGAGGCCTCTCTTTATTCTCCATGCATCTTTAACTACTTCATTATTTCTTGCAAGAAAACCATACTATAAACCTTAAGTTTAAATGAAGTAGATATTATCTTTATTCTCCATGCATCTTTAACAACTTCATTACTTTTTATTGAGTATATTCACTCATTTTGACGACCTTTTAAGATTTTTATAAGCTTGTTTCATATCTACTTAATCAGTCAACACACGAAAGGAAAATTTTGAGAGAAGTTCTGGAAGAACTTAGAACAGATTCAATGGTAAGTGAGAAACAATTGTGGTTTGTTGTGTGAAGTGTGGAGTAAAAGGAGTGGTAGAAAATAGAAATGGTGGAATTGTGAAGCTAAAGAAACTGCGTAAATTGAGGCAGTGGAGTCCACCAATCAAAGGAAGCAATTTAGGAGAAAATTTCTTACCTGTTATTTAGGTTTAAAGTATTGATTCATTTGTCGGTTTCTTGACTTTTAATAAATTATCAAAAGAACTTCTTGGCTGAATTTATTTGGTCAAGTCAGTCCAGCTAGCATGATTTTTGGTATTTCATGTTCATATTAGTCTTAATAGTCAATAACTAAAGAGCCAAAATGCGGGAGATGTTCTAGAATTTTTAACGTGTAGACCAGAGATGAGTTTATGAAGTTAATGACGATGAAGTTATTGACTAGACACTCACCTTCGATTAGTACGTTAAAATTTTATAAAACGTCCATACGAGAGACTTAAGATTTGTCGATGAATAAGTAATTAGATTAGGTTAGATTAGATTAATTGGTTGATCTATATGCATGAAAAAGTAGTTACTCCTGTTTCTTAAGAATTGTGGGTTAAATGAGTCATGCCCAAAACATCAAAGTAGACATGTTAAATGGATCAGATTTTATGAACAGAGCAGCCCATTTTTGTGTTATATCATTTGTGGCCATATAGAAGTGGAATTCTCTCATATGGGTCTAGTTTCAGCCTGCCTAGTAAAACTGGCCTGACTTTGAAGATCCAAAAATAACTTAAAAACATTTTTGTAAACTCAAGGGGGAGAGATTTAAAGCATCCCCTTGATGACACAAAGGGCATAGAGTATTAATTAGCCACATTGTCAACCTGCACTTTTGAACAATGGAGGAGTTTGAAGAAGATGAAACAAACAAATAACAGCTATTTGGTGAATTTAAGACTCAAGTTAATCATCTAATATGGAAGTCTAATCCTTTTCATACGAGAGCTTTACTGTAGTCTGGCAGTAACCTTCTCGTTTGGATAATCGATTCACTTTGACACTAATTATTGGAGGTTCATGTATCCAACCTAAAAGATTAACCTATTAGATAAATTGATCATTCTCGTTACAAAACTCTAAATTCTACTCATTAATCACTACTCCCAAAACTCGAATACACATAAGAGATCAACTAAACGTTACTTGTAAATCTACACATGATAAGTCCCATCCAAGTCAAGATCAAGATTCAATACATTCTCTCATTATCATTTATCCAGAGAGCAGAGTTTTCCAGGGTCCTGCAACACTTAACAAGTATGTGTCCATCTCTTACAATTGCATCGGAATACAGGACCCTAGGGATCAAGGTCACTCAAAATCTCGCTACAAGAGCCTGGAAAGAAAACATTGGACCATTGGCAATGTATATTCATCTAATAAACTAACTTAATCTGTCTTGGATTTATTTTCAAGTTTGATACGAGCCTTTTTTCACTCAAAATACATCTACTTAATTGAAGGGACTGCACACTTATAAACTAATCCAGATTCTCATTCACTATATCCCTGACAAGTTTCAAGCTCGGAATTGCATGAATCTTCAATATTTTAGTAGAATTAAGAATCTCTGCCATTCACATTATAACAAGAACAGTTTATATATATGAAACTAATACCAACTTGTGACAATGTACTCTGGCTGGCATTCTGATTCTACATGCCTTCTGGAACACAAATTTCCCAATGTAACTTCCCACTCTAAGTCAAGTCAGTCCTCAGAGATTCTTCAGAACAAACTACTAATCAGAAGCTTGATTCAGAAGAAAAGCTTCAGTTTTGGGCAATCCTGAGCCGCTTCACTGATTCTACGAACTCTCTATCATGAATCAAACCATAACTTAGCTGATAATCCTGCACAATCTATTGAAAAAGTTAAAGCATTTTATAACATTGTTAAATTTAAAGAACTTACTTCCAGGGAACATCACCAACAGGCCTCCAATTCTCCTCCCTGTCCTTGTAAAACAGTGAAAATTCTGATCCAGCCTGGAATAATCTTAGCCCAGATGCAGAATTTCTCCCTGGAATCATACCTATGTCAGTCATTTCAAGCAGAATTATTAGAAAAAATCAAAATCTCAAAATCCTGAAGAGTGTTTTTCCCTACTCACCAAACATTTCTTCCAATTTATGTGCCATGCTAGAATAGCCTTCATGGTCAAGAACGCAGATTTTTCTTCCCACAATAACTCCATCCATGTTAACCTTCACATAAGCCCACCTCTCTTTGCTCTGGATTCCCTCAGCCTCCTCGTCACCGTCGTCTTGTATCAGCCTGGGAAATCCCCTGCCTGGATTCTTCAGCTGCAAATCAGCCTGTGGCCACTCCATAAAGTCTCCATATCCCTCCATGCCTACCACTGCTACATAAAATATAATCAAACTCCAATTAAAATCACAGTCAGAACATTTATCTTTTCAGGAAAAAAAAAAAAAAAAATGCATACCATGTTGAGATGGCTGATAGGCTTCAGGTTGCAGAGTTCTGAGGCTGAGGCCGAGATCGATGAGGCCATCATCCTCCTTAGGTTGATAATAAACTGAGTGGAGGCCTGAAGGGTTGAGAAGGAAGTTGGAATCCATTGAAATATTTTTGTTGGTATAAGTGAAAAGAGGAGATATTTATATACAGAAGCTGAATTGAAAAAGTGCTTATCTGAGAAGCTGAAAATGAGGGAATATGACAGTGGGGGCCAAAGACAAACGGACAAGGAAGATAAGTGAGGGTTTCTCTTCCATGATCAATCATTAAATGGTGGGTTATCTTCTTGTGGGAAGTGATTGAAAGTGTCAACATGGAGAAGCTGAAACTTCAAACAAGAAAACCAGAAAAGAGGAGAACAAGGGATGGCCAAAGTGATTCTAAGAAAAGTTGGTTTGGATCCTGCAACCCAACATTGATACATTGCTTCTGCTTTTCAGGTGGACATCCACTGGAGATCACTCAAAGGGTAGGCTACCTCTCACTTTCAAGAGCTTTGGAATTTAATTCAACTTCTGATTATACCAACAAAACAAAAAAAATTGCTTTTATTAATTGCTAACTTTGCATTGCCACTAAGGAATTATATATGGAGTAAGTTAAAACTACAAGACAAAACTATGTTATCTTAATAAATTATGTAGTGTGAGAAAACTTTGCCTGAATTTTAAGAGAATCATACCGTCCCCACTTGAAAATTTAGGTAATACTACATAAGTACCAAACCATTAAACAATAGTTGCTTTGAGGTTTTAAAAATCGAACCACCCTTGAGTGATCGGATCAGAAGATAAGGACTCTTAAGTATATTACTCAAGAGGTCTTGAACTCGATTCCTCTTGGTTGCTAATAAGGGTGGACACTAAAGAGTTTATTCGGTCGTTAACTTTAGGGTCCTAGAGAATTAGTCAAGGTATGCACAAATTGGTTCAGACACCCCCAGTTACCAAAAAATAAAAGGTTTAAAAATCGACTAGATCCTGACAAAGAAAATAACGTTATCATGATAAGACATTCTAAATTGTTCAATGCCTTGATGGAGGTAGTAAAAAAATCGGCTGATAGTAAACAGTATTGTCTAGGAGTGGTAAAGGGTGGATGACGATGGCTTAAAGTAAGTTATTGAAAGCAAAATAATAGTAACCTAAAAAAGTGTTTGAAATGTTGAACTAGTTTTGTGTCACATCTTATAGTTGGGTGGTCTCTCTCATACAACAATGTAGTGTTTTTGTAATAGGAGACAAAATTCGGTAAACAACCCACCATCCCACTCCTCTGTGCCCATTATGTATGGTGCTTTTAACCATAGATTCAAAATCCAATAGTCTAAAATATAAAGTATTTTTCTGATCTAAAAAGTAATTTCCTTAGAAAACATGTATGAAGTGTTTCTTCAAGAACATACATTATAAAATGAAGAATGTTAGATGTATAAAGACTCTTACAAAAAGTCTTTATACAAAGTGATGTGATAGCTGTCACACCACCAGTTTCACATTAATCTTCTCTTTCTTTTCATAAACTAGTGGTGTGGCAGCTGTCACATCACTTTGTAAAAAGACTTTTTGTACATCTAACATTTCTCTTATAAAATATAAATATCTAAGCAAGGATTCTAATATTAAACTTGGATTTGTAGATTAAGTTTAAAGAAAATATCTATAAAATCCCTTATAGTATAAATGTTTCCTCAATCACTTGTGGTTCATTTTACAATAAGGAATACTACAATCATAAAAGAGGTTTTAAAATTATGTAAAAGTTTGATTTGCAACAAAGTAAACGGGTGATTGGGACAATATTACACTTATAAAGTAAAAATTGGACAAAATCATATCATTTACCATATCTTATCATCATTAAGTGACATGAACACATCAACTATATCATGTGATATTACGTTAAGATATTTACTTTGTAATTGTATCATTATTGCAAACTACTATTACGTTGAACTCCGTACAGTCCATTTGAAATGGACCTAGTTATGTTTGATATCTAATTTGGTATCACACTGACAAAATGGGCCAAAATTTCTGACCAAACCGGCAAGGGATGCAACCGAATCCAGACCGAACCATGTCCTGTAACTTTGCACTTAAATTTGGGTGTGAACCAGGCCGACGAAATGCGCCAAAATTCAGACCAAAACCGGCAGGGTTTACAGCCGAATCCATACCGGACCATGGCCTGTTTTCTTGAAACATGTCAGGTCAGGCTCGAGCTTGACTCTGTTAAGTTATGTGGAAACTGGGTCAGGCTTGTCTTTGTCTCCTGTCTAGCCCAGCTTGTCCATTCCCAACTCAGACAAAAAGCGTTCATGGAGGACTATGTAAATGAGAAATAATTCAGTTCTGCCAATTGATAGATCTTCACAGAAGAAAATTGAAAAAACTTTTACTTTAATAACTGTTTATTTAGTCTAAAATATAACTTGAAAAAACATAAATTTTTTGTTTTATTCATAAAAATGGTCGAGATTACTAAACAGTAAACCCTTAAATAAAACGGACACATCACGTTATCTTACATCTATCTAATAATATCTCGTTATCTTACATCTAACTAATAATATCTCATGGTCAGATCTTATTAGATGGACGTATTAATAACTTGATATACCCGTCTCACCGGAGAAGACTTTCTTAGTAGACAAATAGGAAATTCAATGTTGTTAAGTTTAAGAATATTGCACATTACACTTGAAACAGTGTGTGTTGCAGCCGTTAAATGAAGGCCAAAAGAAGCAAACCTGGACACACGATAGTTTTGAAAGCAATAACCAAAACTTTATGCAAAATACAAATTATTTGACAAAGATTGAATATTGTACTTGTTCACTGATTTTAACCTTCAATTTACTATTTCCTTTTTATATGATTCTTCAATTTACAGCACAGCCGAAAATTTCATTTTCCCATGTGCAAAACCTCTGCTCCAGATCATGGAAGTCCTTCACCCTAATGCTTCATCTGAGCAGGGAACCCAAAAGCAAAAATGCAAACATTTACCTTGCAGTAAACAGCTGAATGGACCCAGTATCACAGCACTGATCACGCGGAGACATACATGTTGGTCTGACACCAAATTCCGCGGTGATAAAGAGGGGAAATGAAGGTTTATGGCATTGATCATGGTGTCGAATCATAATGACTAAGGAATTCGACTATACAGGGATAAACTTGCTCCACTGCCTGCATTTTGAAAGGAAAATATAATATTAGCTGTCATCGTATAACTAAGTGACATCAAAGCTGTTATTTTATTTTCCCAGAAGTTGTTTAAAGAAACAAATTCTTACCAGTCGTCCTCCAACTAGATCATAATGCGCATAATGTGCACCCCCTGGTTCACCAAATACTTTATAGGTAACCAAATTCTTGGGAAGGAGCTTAACCGTTTCTGGTTTCAATCAAGACAAGCAACCAAAAGAGAATTAATATCATGAAAAGAAGGTTTCTCACTAAGTGTGTGAGTCTTTTATTTTAATTGAACATACCCTCAACAGCTTCAGGTGGGCAAATTAGATCTCGATCTCCCGCAATAGCTAAGATGGGAACATTGCCTTTGTGTAGATGATCCTTGTAGAAAAATTTACCACTTCTATCACATAGGCCACCCTCTCGAAAGGCTGTTGTAAGCTGCAGGATAAGTTTAGCAGGTATGGTACCTACAAACCATGATTAAGTCCCCATACATCAGACTCCGTAAGTATCAAATATAAGAAGAAGAGAGATGGGTAAAATTTGATTGTGCAAATTAATGAAATAACTATATAACAGAAAGTAGGAGTAAGCCCTTTTAGATGAAAAAAAACTACCAATACTAAAACCAATATGTGAAAATAAACCTATTGAGCATGCTGTCTATGTTCGCACAAGAAGCCATAATGTCAAAAGTGAAAGCACATCCATACTTACAGAAGTTGTTCAGGACAAGCTTTTTCAACAACTCCGGATGCATCATGTCTTCTGCTGATATCAGATCATTAAGCCAAGAGAACACATAAGGAGAACTAGATGAAAGAGGATAAGCAGCTGACAACAATGCCCCTAAAGGAACAACAGGGACATTAAGAGCCTGTGCAGGATCAGCCTGTAGATAAAGTAACTTGACATTAACTTCTCAACAAAGGCTATTCCTCCAAAAAAAATCTACATGTAGAGTGTTATATACAGTTCTCAGGCTCAAATTAAAGTTGAATTGGTACACATTAAAAATAAATTTTCATCCTCTTACTAGGGGTAAGAGCAATTTGAGTGTCGATTTTGAAGAAGTGTAGTCAAGAGATGATGCCAATGTAACAATAGCTGCCAATCTACATTCTTTTCCTTCATAACCTGATGAGATAAAACAGATTGCAGTAATGTTAATAACAACACCTCATCAGGGACAGGATGACAGAAAAAGAAGAAGGAAAGCACACTAAAAGAACAAAGATTTAGAGGTAAACAAAAAACATTGAACCAAATATTTCAACTCAACTTTGCAGGAAACAGGCTTTATCATATTGATCAACTGCTTTCTATAAGGCAATAGAATTGTTAATAATTTTTTAGCCCCTTTTTGTAAGAAACGATATTTTACTGACGAGTACTTAGAGACATGCAACAACTTCTTATCATCAGCTACAGCTAGGCTGCTCAGTCATTTGCCAAATATTCAACAGGCATATCACAATACCAACATCAAGCATTCATGCAACAGCAAAAACCTCACTAGCATATTCTTTAAACAGCAAAAACCTCACTAGCATATTCTTTAAGTATCAATTTTATGAAGATCTTGTTTCAGTACAGAAATCCATAACTATATAACGTTAATACTATGTTCAACATGTTATGTGTCTCCATCATGTCGTACATGTTCAAGTGTCAAATAGTACAGCATACAACTGCAATCCCCAATCACCCATCAAGAAGTATGCATACTAAACAAACATTGAAGCATTGGCACAAATTTTAGCATCAGCAACAGCCACCATTACTTTGCAAGAAATAATATCTTACCACATTTTGACAGCATTGCATACAACAAGATACCTCCCATGGAATGCCCTATTGCAAGAAGCTTACCATCCTTTGGCTTGCTTTGTGTGTTTATATATTCCATCTACATCAACAAAATTAAAGACAGTTAATTCAAAATGCAAAGAGTACATATAAAAGGTTATATTACAATAAAACCAAAAATGAAAAAAAGCATATAGGTAATTCTGCTTGAAAATGTATCATAGAAGACTTAAACCAAGACAAGTAACCATATATAAATCCATCAATATAAAATGTCACCTCACCGCAGCAGGAACATCTTCTTCCAGGTAATGATCAAAATCCCAGTCATACTTCACAATCAAGTCAAGCTGCTTCTGAAAATCATCTATTGTTGAGAAAAGACGCTCTTGCAAGTCGAACAACTGAGGTGAAACAGATCGTTGACCTTCTTCAATGGTATTCACAAGCCTTTCACTCAAATCCCTGATTTGGCTAGCAATACCTGAGTTTTGCCTTGTTTCCAGCAAGCTCGACAGCTTTACCCGTATCTCATTAAAGCGTTCAGACAACTGAGAATCTTCTAAAAGTTTTGATAGTTGATCAAACAGTTTAGCCGATATTATCTTTGTTTGGCTTTCACTAAGAAAGCCTGAGAGACTTTCTGACAAACGCATAAAAGTTTCAGTAAACTTTGTCACCAGCTTTGATTCATCCCATACTATTGCTAACCTCGTTGCCTCTTCTTCAACAGAAGAAATCCTAGAATCTGTCAAGGTATCAGGGCCATCAGTCCGCTGCTGCTCTGCAGAATAGACTCCATCAACTGTACTCTTTCTCACAGCTTCACCAGTGGTACCCTCAGCAACAGCTTCCATCTGCTCGGATATTTCATGGGCAGACTGTTCAACTTCTTTCAAATTTGACCCCCGCACACTCAACCCAGCACCTCGAACTTCAAGTATCCATGTGTCAAATCCTTGGCTAGACATGTACCGTGCAAATGAAGACTGCAAACACATACACACACACACACACACACATAACTACAACATTGATGAGTTTAAACAGCAAACATTTTGAATCCTATTGTTTCTCATATCCTCAAACTTCTCCATTTGTTACAATTCTTCGAATTAGAACTTTGCAGTTAAACTTTTTAGTATTAGACTTTAAACAATTGAAGCTATTAAAATGATGTATCGGGTATTTAATATTTAATTCCAAGCTTCACAACAAGAAACGTCACACTTTTTACATCTCCTTGCTAACATTTAACATCATCTAATAATTACAAATGCACAGTAAATAAATTACTAAGATATGACAAGTAAAATAATAAATAAACCACTTACAGTAGGAGAGAGATCATAACCAATGGCATTAGTTCCCACCCCAGATAACAGCAACAGCGGATGATTTCTCTTTGGCGCCTATAAATACAATTCAAATTCAACATCTCATCAAAAAATAATCATTAATTAATTTTATAAATATATTAGAACTTTTTAATATCTGANAACATCATCTAATAATTACAAATGCACAGTAAATAAATTACTAAGATATGACAAGTAAAATAATAAATAAACCACTTACAGTAGGAGAGAGATCATAACCAATGGCATTAGTTCCCACCCCAGATAACAGCAACAGCGGATGATTTCTCTTTGGCGCCTATAAATACAATTCAAATTCAACATCTCATCAAAAAATAATCATTAATTAATTTTATAAATATATTAGAACTTTTTAATATCTGAAAATGTGTTACTCTATTATAAAGAATTCTATTTCCAAACGCCATGTTTGGAAACATTTCAAGAATACGTTATTGTCAAAAACAAGCAATTACATTTAAATTTTATTCTGGTTGAGTTGAATCTAATTCTAATTCCTTGAAAATGATATACATTTTTCGTCTTTAGAACTGTATCCATAAACAGTTGTAAAAAAAAATTCTAAAACAAAAAAAAAAAATGTTACGGCGCGAGAGACCTGAGGAGGAGGATTATAGCGCCAAAGCGCGAGTCGCCAATCGGAGTTCGCCACGGAGACATAGTGGAGCTCGTCGGCAGTACAAATCGACGGCTTATCCGCAACCATCTCGACGGACGGTTCACAGGCGCCAGAGCCATTGGAGAAAGCCCGAGGGCGAAACAAAAGCGTTGACCGAAGCGAGTGAGGGTGGCGACGCGCGGAGGAGGCGCGTAGGGGGAGGAGGAGGAGGGCGGGGGTGGTGGCGAGTGAGCGAAGGAACGTGGAGGTCGCGCAACGAACGTCGGAGTATATTTGGAAGTGATGTGTCGTGGGCCTCGTGGCCATTCTTTTTAAAAGTGGGAAATGCTCTGTATGAATTTCAGCATACAAGTTTGCGTGCATTGCTTATTGTGCTAGTTCGTTCCGTGAGGCGGTGAGATGGGCTTCTAATACAGCCTCTCAAACTTCAAAAAAATAACATATTACCCCTACCAACTCCGACAATAGCCACTTACACCCCCTAATGTTAAATTTAATGCGTGGGTAAAAAAATTTAAAGCATTAGAGATGAATAATTTAATAATAAAAGTAATTATCACTAACTTAATGAAACGTTAGGCGATGTTTGATTGAAAAAGACATAATTGCCACAATTTTGTCAATTTCATAAAAGACAAATACTTAAGTAGTAGTAGTTTTATCAATTGGTCGTCCTTTAATGTTTCAATAATTCATCAAAACCATTATTTTGACTTATGCAAAAGATTATGAGACGTTACAATACTGAGTAAATAAAAGTATAATTACCACAAACACAATTTATAAAATTTCTAGGTGTAATTTATTAAAAGGGTGTTATTATAACAAACTCGTTGATTTCAAAAAAGGAATATAAATAGTAATCAATAATTGCGAAAAAACAAAGGGTGGTTCCTGATACAAAGTCAAAAACAATTTATTTTATTAACGTAAGGCAAAACCTTAAGGGTAGTTTATGAAATTCTCCCCATTCCGAAAGTTCAAGAGCCGACACAGTCCATATCCGGCGGCCCAAAGCAACCTGATGGGCCGATGGGCCCAATTCACAGCCCAAACTACTTTATTGTTTTTCCTGAATTTTAAAAACTAAATTTTCATGTCGAAGCCTTCTTCTTCAAACCTTTCTTTCCCAACTCAGCGAAGAAGAACAAAAAAAATCAGAACTTTTAACACTTAGGCCGCCTTCTGCTGCAGCTGGAGAACTCAAACTCTCTCTCCGTTTCTCTCTGAAAGTTTGAAATCACATTAAAATGAGTAATAATTTTAGTAGTGAAGTAGAAGTAAACAGAGTGTTCATAGGAGCAGGCTGCAACAGAATCGTCAACAACGTCTCATGGGGCGCCTCTGGTTTCGTTTCTTTCGGCTCCCAAAACGCCATCGTTATATTCTGCCCCGAGGTCCTCCCAACCCCACTTCTTTTTTTCTTTTCGTTTTCATATACATGAATATCAAGCTGACGCTGTTTGTTAATGAAATATTTGACAGACTGCTCAGATTTTGACTACGCTTCCAGGCCATAAAGCTTCTGTGAACTGTACCCAGTGGCTTCCCAGTAATAAGTTCGCATTTAAAGGTACACTTTTTTTTTTTTTTTTTTTTCCAATTACAAGTTTGTGCTTTCAATGAATAGTTTGTTAGTAATTAGTTTTCTTTTAATTGGTGAGAAATGAGAGGATTTAGTTGTAGTAAGTTTGCTTTTAAATTTGTGTTTGTCAATTGAAAGTTTGTGCTTTTATTTACTAGTTGCTTACAAGATGGTGTATTTTAACTTGGTGAGACATGGTAAGAGGAAAATGAGAGCATGTGTTTTCCACATTGGGATTTTTTTTTTTTTTATTTTAATGTTTTACGTTTTGTTGTATGTTCACAGTTAAACATTTAGAGCATCATTATCTGCTCTCCGGAGATGCTGATGGTGTGATTATTCTATGGGAACTCTCTCTTTCTGATAGAAAGGTATTTTAATGTGTCATTGCGATTTTCTGTTTAGCTTTTTGTTCTGTTAGAGTGTAAAAGTTAGGCTTATACCTATCAGCTTAGGTTTTTGTGTCAAGTGTTATTGGGAATTTATGTACATTTTTGCTTGTCGGGGATTTTTGCTCTTGTAAAACTTTAAAGATTAGTGTATACATGTTGATATATTGAATGATTTGGCTGAGTAACTTCTGCTGATTGTGCTGTTTTGTTTTATTTTATTTTATTTTGTTTCCAGTGGAAGAATGTGTTACAGTTACCTCAATCACACAAAAAGGGTGTTACTTGCATTACTGGAATTATGGTTTCAGAAACCGATGCCATATTTGCATCTACTTCTTCTGATGGTTCAGTTTATATATGGGAGGTCGTTTTTCCATCAACTTCTGGAGGTAGGTTAATTTTTTTTCTGAAATAAAACATAAATATTTCTTTTCGTGGATGTGATAGGCATGAAGTTAGGGTTTTTTTTCTTGGCATGCTTTTACACATTGCTTGATGCTGGGTTGCTGGAATAATTTTATTACATTTTTACTTTGAGGGCAGCTTTCTTTTCTGTTTTTCACCCCTAGATTATATGAACATGATTTTGGTATTTAACCATGTTGAGATTCTTTTTATTTCTTGGTGATGGTTTTGAGATGGAAGATACCATGCTTATAGAATGTATTAGTGAGTATCTATGAAACCTAAAAATCATGGTTGCAATGTAGAATGTAACCATTAAATATCTGTTTAGTCAATTATGGTTGAGGTGGAATATAACACGCTAAAACTTTCTGTTTAGGCTCAACTTGTGGCTGCTATGTTGAATGCAACCAACTCAGTTACAGGCTTTGGGTGTAACGTTGACTCATTATCATTGTTGAACTCTTATTATGAGTATATACTATTATTTGATAGCAATCATATCTGTATTCTATAAGATAGACTGGGATCTTCACAAATGGAAGCAAGCCTGTTTGCATACTGAACCACCGATTATGCACCTTTGTTCCTTTCAGGTGACTGTAAATTATCATGTCTGGATTCACTTTTTGTTGGTTCAAAGGCTATGGTTGCACTCTCATTAGCAGAGTTGCCAGGAAATGCCGGGCACTTAGTCCTGGCAATGGGGGGATTGGATAACAAGGTTCATCTTTACTGTGGGGAGAGAACTGGAAAGGTATCTAACTTCAAATTATATATATTACCATCTGATACCTGCATAGGATCTTTTTCCATCATTTGAGCATGTTATATTTATTTATGTATGCAGTTTGTTCGTGCTTGTGAGTTAAAAGGGCATACAGATTGGATTCGGAGTTTGGATTTCTCGTTACCTGTGTGCACCAGTGAAGAGGCAACTAGTGTTCTACTTGTAAGTTCATCTCAAGACAAAGTCATACGCATATGGAAGATGGCTTTACGAGGTTCTTCAGCAAACAGTCAGGGTACATACAGGAAAGAGAAAATAAGTTTGGCTTCATACATTGAAGGTCCTGTATTTGTGGCTGGCCCATCCTCTTATCAAATATCGGTGGAATCTCTTCTAATTGGCCATGAGGATTGGGTGTACTCAGTACAGTGGGAACCTCCTTCAGCTGCACCATCAGATGGGATTGCCTATCAACAACCTCTGAGTATTTTATCCGCATCAATGGACAAGACAATGATGATTTGGCAACCTGAAAAGACAACTGGTATCTGGATGAATGTAGTCACTGTTGGAGAATTAAGTCATTCTGCTTTAGGGTTTTATGGTGGCCATTGGAGCCCGGATGCACATTCAATTTTGGCACATGGATACGGTGGATCTTTCCATCTGTGGAAAAATGTTGGTGTTGATGTAGATAACTGGCAACCACAAAAAGTTCCTTCTGGGCACTTTGCTGCAGTGACAGATATTGCATGGGCTAGGTCTGGTGAATACGTGCTCTCAGTCAGTCATGACCAGGTGATAATGATATGTTGCTTATAACATGGAAACATTTTCTTTTATTTTTTTTGTGCAACATTTTAGTAACATGCTTAACTTCTGACTGTGGAAATGGTGAGCCGTACCTTTTAACATACATCTTAGGGCATGTCCTCTGTGGGTTTTTTTTTTTTTTTTTTTTTTTTTTTTAAAGCAAGCTTAGCTATTGATGAGCATAACTTATTTGAGCAACAGTGTGCATGCTCATATAAAGTAGATGGATAATTTGTTCACATATGCTTCTAACTGCAGAAATATTTTTTTGAGATAGTAATGGGGAGAGTTCGTTAGTATTTTCTTGAAGATGTTCATCAAATTTTTGGTTACTAGCTAGCTTTTAAATTCTCTTTGTTACCACACAAGAGGAATGGAACCATCTAGCCTACACCAAAAAATTTGAAAGGGTTCACATCTGGGTTAAACGATGGTAGAGACCTACCTTCGATTGCGTAGCCAGATATGCCCCCTCATGAACCACAAGAAAAAGAAGACCCTCTTTGAATGTGCTCTGATGCATATATTAAAAATAGGTTAAAAGGATTTCTTTGTATTTCCTTCTTGTATGACTGCTAGAGAAATGAGTTAGGGCATTTTGAGTTTGGAAAAAGTGGTACTATTACATTTTATTTAAATGAGAATCCTTCAGGGAAATGGGGAAACTGAAAACTTTTAGTGAAAATTTTGGGGAGAAATTCATTAAGTTGAATTCTCTGTGATGTTTGTTAATATAAGCTTCTCATTTCTGTTCTTGCTAGCAAATCCTTTAATATAAAAAAAAAATGTTGTCACGCCCTTGTTTTTTCGTCAATTGCATAGATTCCTTGGTTAGTTATTCCAATTCCAGAGGTGGCTATTAATGGATGCATCTAAATTTTTTAAAAGAAATAACTGGATGAGCTTTTAAACTAGTTATGATATGCAGTATAGACATAACCATGATGCATCTCTCATTTCAGACAACTCGTGTTTTTGCTCCATGGCACAATGTAGCTTTGCTAACGGGTGTGGACTCCTGGCATGAAATTGCTCGCCCTCAAGTTCATGGTCATGATATTAATTGTGTGACCATCATTCAAGCTAAGGGTAACCACCGTTTTGTCAGTGGAGCTGATGAGAAAGTTGCCAGAGTGTTCGAAGCTCCTTTGTCTTTTCTGAAAACCTTGAATCATGCCACTTCTCAAAACTCTAGTTTTCCTGAAGATCTCCAAGTAGATGTTCAGATTTTGGGTGCAAATATGTCTGCTCTTGGGCTGTCACAGAAGCCTATATATGTCAATGGTAAGTCTCTCTTTCTCTCTGTAATCCAGAAAATTAATGTTGCAGAGGGAACTTTTATCTTCAGTTTTATGAATTTAGGTGCTTACACATTGATGTGAACTTGACACTTCTCTGATGAACGTTTAGTTTGACATTGACATGCTTTCCTGAAGTTCTA